CCGTTTCCGGCTTGAGCGGCGTCGCCGTCGCTGTTGGGGTCGTCGTCGGCGTCGCCGTCGGCGTAACCACGCGGTGCATTATGGGACATTTCCCATGATGCAACGCGCGGGAAGGAGGAGGGGGAGGAGGAGGGGGAGGCGAGAAGGAATGAGGAGGAGAGGAGGGAGAGGGAGGATGGAAGGAGAGGAGGGAGGAGGAGGAGGGGAGGAGGAGGACAAGGAGGATGAAGAGGAAGGAGAAGGGGAAGAGTAGCAGGGAGGATGAGGAGGAGGGAGGAAGGGTACGCCCTCCCCTCAGTACCCTTCTCTCCTCCTCCTCAACAGCTGCGCTCTAATTGGCGTTACAGGTTATTGTAAACGTCTTTCATTTCTTTGTTCGTGTTTTCAATGCACCTTTTATTTTTACATAAAAATATATATACTCATTTATAACAATGGCTTTCAAAAGGGGTCCGCGAAGCCCTCCCTCATCAGTCAAGCCCGGCAATTATATATATACATATCTATTTTTTTTTTTTTTTTTTCAGATTGAGAAGAAACGTTCGAATGTTTTGGTGAGCTTCCTCGTGTGTCGTGTGTAATGAGAGAAGCTTACTTTACACTAGCCCTTAGTTATGTCTATTTATTACATGATTATCATAATTCACCTATACGTTTCCCTTCCCCTCACCATGAACGGTGTCCTCCATATCATCTCTGCCGATTCACAAGGGCTCCGCGAAGCATTAATGATTGAGAACCACTGATCTAGAAGACAATAGACAGTAATTAGTCGTCAAGCAGCACACACATGGCCACTGCAGCTGACAAAGGCCAACTTCAGCGCGGTCGTGTGTCGCTACCCATAAATGATGGCCGTTCTGTCAGAGAATATATAAATTGACTATTATTCTTTAAATTTTAAGTCACATTTGGAACTTGACAGGGGGATTTATAGTTTTATAGTTTTAATGTATAGATATGTTAGTAATTATGTTTTCGTGATAATGACTTTTATGATAGCTCATAAGCTACCTATCACTTCAATAAAAATGTGGTAAGAGCTTTTAAAAACATATCTTAGAAAACGAATTATACGGCTCGACTGTTACACTGGCAAATACCCACGGCTGTTTGTCGGCTGAATCTATTAACTAAAACGCCAGAGATTCTCGGGCTTGTTTTAAGGTAATAAACGAGGAAACTATTTACACCGCTTCAATTTCTAACGCTATAGCAAATATTATATTTTTAACTACATCGGCTCCACAATACCGCGAAAATTAGGGTAATGTAGATAATTGCCGAACCTCATAGAACAGCGATACAAAAGATACGAGAAAAAAACATTTATTGAACAATATTTCGCGAATACACGCACGGTTATGTGTATGTACCTTCATGGCACTCACTGCACTTCCATATACATATATACACACGCACAATTGACTTTAACAAAATTCGTGACAGAATATATCAAACATAAACACCGCGCGGCACATGCAGCGCCTTTCGTCTTATTCGCTCTTTTCCTGGCCGTCGCTGAAATTCGGTAGCATTGTTAAAACTAAGAAAGTCACCTGCCTTTCGATGTGCCGATCAATACTAACTGATATTACAGTATCAAACTTTATTCAATCCATGTAACGTACAACGGACACTGCAAAGACGTCCACAGTTCGTGGCTTCCTAAAGTACAACAGGTCAGGAAATCACCCTGGGCCATGGTGGGACACCACCCCGAGCTCATGTATTATTCACCAAGACTCACATGGGTCAAATTTAGTGTGCTACATGAGTTACGCTACATTACGGACACTAGATAATTAAAAACTGCGTATGTTTTAGTCTTACTCTTGGACTTGTTTTCCTAGCTCTACAATAATTATGCATTTTTGTCTCTCCTACCTGCCCGTTTAGAGTAGCCTAGCTTTGAACGTAACCCTTTCACTACGGCGTGGCTATGTTCTTTCGTCACTTTTTTGTTAATTGTAGTTAAACTATAAGACGAAACCAAAGTTCGGGACATTCTCCGACTCAGTCATCCCTAACTGCGCTCTTCCAGAGTAACCAAACCCGGCGACCGAAGAGGCAGCAGTTTGTGTCTGCATCCTAGCAATGTCTCTGTTCCACCTGCCATAAAAAAAGGAGGTAAAATTTGTCCTGTTAGCTCTAGGGCTAACAGGGCAAATTTTACCTCCTTTTTTTATGGTGAATAATACATGAGCTCGGGGTGGTGTCCCACCATGGCCCAGGGTGATTTCCTGACCTGTTGTACTTTAGGAAGCCACGAACTGTGGACGTCTTTGCAGTGTCCGTTGTACGTTACATGGATTGAATAAAGCCCTAGAGAAAGCTGCAAGAAATAAAGCAAAGACGAGAGAAAGAAAGAGAAAGAAGCTTGACAATTTTCCGTTGAACGGATCTATTCTTCCTGGCCACATGATCATCGCCAGTATGGTTTTTTGTTTTCATGTTTTTAATGCTTGATGAAGACCATTTTAGCCGACTGACCATGGTCACTATTAAAGCTACGACTGAGGTTTATCATAGGCGTGAACTAGCGTGTCCACTGCGTGCCTCGTTTTTTATTTTTCTATTGGCCGCTCACTTTCACATATCTGAACTTAAACTAGCAATTGTTTATCTATTGACGTTAGGCGCTGAAATTACAAGTGCGAGAACCAAGCTAAGATCACTATATACACCGCTTTATAGCACCGCGTCACAGACTCATACGTCGTTGTATACACTAACGCACTGTTTCCAAGCAAGCTCGCGTTAGCCCACACCGGGCATGGGTAATGCACCTGCGCAAAAACCAAACTCGGGAGGGGTGAAACTTCTGCGCATGCGCAGTGCCGACAGCAGCGCCACCGCAGTGGCGTGACGACAGAGAGTCAAGTTAGTCTATTGTCGCAGACAGCGGACGAAAGGCCGGGCAAGGCTCATTATGCGCACAACTTCGTGATTGGTTCTTCGGCCTTCTTATCGGTTAGTGGCATAGTGTCATGGGCTGCGGAGTGATAATAATCGATGCTTGGAACTCGCCACGCCCCGCGCTTATGAGCTGTCACTAAGTATGAGGTATACCTGACCTTTTCCCGCTTACACCGAGTAAAATATACTTCATCCGTCTTCCCATTTTTTTATGCACCTGCCAATAAAGGTGGAAAAAAGCCGACGGTGTAGACAGATCGGCTTTGTAACAGAATAGAAAGTTGTTCGTGCACTGTTATTCTCACTATGCTGATTATGTTTGCAGCCTTTAAAAATAAAATGTGCGCTGAAAAAACCAAAAGAAACAAACGAAAATGACACGAAGATCGGAACAAAAAAAAAGTTCATTGTCACCGTGACTATTTTACATTAACCGATTGCATTGAATATTATCTAAAGCCTTGCTGCCTGCCGATCAATCAGATTAAGTATCCACATTTCTTCGGCGTTTTTCTAATCAACACCAACCTACTCCTCGCGTCACTTTCTACACAAGGAAACATTTTGCAATTTTCTTCTATACCTACGTTTTCACTAGCATTTACAAAAACCGTTTCCTCTCTTTCCCCAGCCTATTCTCCTAAAAAAAAAAAAAACCCATCCGTGGCAAAAAAAAGAAAAAAATCGTTCAGCCTTTCTATTTTTGTGAAGAACGAAGACCAGCGGAGCCGTACTCGATACACTGTGTGTTTCTTCGTCGTCGTCTGTTTTTCGCGCCCTGTTTCCTACGATGAATTGCCACCAACACGCCCAACTATCCATTCTTCTATAATAGCTGGAAAGGTTGCAGCCATCTACGAGCGACGGCGGAAACCATACTGGTTGTGTACTTGCCACCATAGGTTTGTGTCCAGGTAGGTTTGTGTCGACATACACGGACACGATCCTGGGAAATCTAGCCCTTAACAGCTCCGCTATATAAAAAAAAAAAGAATAACAACCCACAATGTATTTCTACAGCGTGGAACATACTTAAGTTTTTAACCCGATTGTGAACTGGCATGATCTTGTCGACAGCGCATAATCATCAAGAGCTCCATTAGAGTTTACAGACAATTTTTATTGTAACCAGTAGCTAGTCCCCGCTTGAATGCCCCACGCACCTGAGGGTAGATAAATAAATAAATAAATAAATAGACAAATAGGTAAATGGTTTTACGTTACTTGCGAAAAACAAAGTTATTCACCCCACGTAAATCGCGAACGCGATTTTCTAAAAATTATTTCTTGTAATTTCCGAACAATAAATGCCCACCTATAATTTCATAAAAAAATCGACTGGAGAATTATTTTTGTATGTTTCAATTTTCGTGCGAATTACGGTTCGTTTTTTCCCCACATAGTTTCTAGCTTAAATAGTTCATGGGACATCAAGCTCGTTGATACCGAGCCCAGGGATGACGCTCAGCGACACAGTGTAATCCACTCAGCTCAGCCAACTTAAAAAAAAGGCTATCGCCGCTACACGGGAATACGTATACTATACCCAAGAACGTAAGCAAGGCTCCCATGGAGCCTGGCCAATTTCATGTTCCCAGAGAAAAGGACAATAATGAAGTGGGCGACATTTTCTTCCTCTCAACTTGAAGGCCACAGACCCCGCTGTGAAGAAAAGCGCACAGCCGTGGTCCCACTGCATAATAAATGACAGTGCCTGTAGACGCTGTCTGAGGCCCGTTTGTTGTTTATATGGCGGTCCTCTAACATTGGTCATCCGAATACTGTCTGCAGTGATGTTCGAAACGTACCTATATGTATAAAACATACATGATTTAGACATGCTCCATGTCCGCAGATACTCCTGCCATCTTGTCTGCGGCGAACAGCCCTGTCTTTTGTGGGACCACCGCTTAATAGACGCTGTACTATTAGTTTCGGTGGTAGCAGGAGCTCTACGTGCGTGCCTCAAAAACGCCGGGACGAGAAATCAAAAGATACTGGAGAGAGAGCTCCGTCAACCTGTCCGAATTAAGGCCAGCGTTTCGGTCTTGGATGCGTCGATTACGTGTGGCGGCCGATTGTCAGCAGGCGTCTTCGTGCAGTGGACTCGCCTTCACGTGACCGCTCTTGAGTCTTGTCACAGTGCAGACGGAAAGCAGGCAGCACAGCACCAGCGTGAGAAGCAGCAGAGACACGGCAGCCGCGAAGCCGCTTGTCTTCAGGCACACCAGGCTGGCACCCGATTCTACGGTGAGAAACAACGTAATTCTTTCGAAATAAAGACTATAGCCACGGCCGACGTAAGACACGCAGTTCGTAATATATACACGCGCCGCATCGCTTTCGTGATTTTTACTTCGAGTTCGACTAACGCCGCAGTTTGATTTGCTGCGGAGCAAAAACAGGCGCACGAAACACACCATGCCCGTCGTTTTTTTTCTTTTTTTTTAAGTTGTCAGGTGATTTTAGACGGACAGTTAATGTTACTGGAAAATCCTAGTGATTACGTGAATTGTTTTAAATGACGTTGTTAGAAAGAAAGAAGAAGTGGGGCTCCGACGGCAGTGTGCGAGTAGTGCTCACTCGGTTCTGCATCGAACGGTCACCATGGACGCACCATCGTAGAGCCAAACTTCATTCATTGCATTAAGCCCATCCATCCATCCAGAGCCTTGCAATAAAAACATTCAGTCAATTATGGAATGCATAATTGAGAAATCTCTCAGCGTAAACATTAACTATTTTCCTGGTTTGCTAATAGGTTGACCCCTTGTAAGTTCTTTGGAGCGATTAATGCTTCCACGGAATGACAAGTGTATTTGGATCCCGGTAAAGACAGTGTGGATCACTTTCTACACGACGGAAGAAGAATAACTATTCGATCAATCTGAGAGGCCGAACGCTTTTGTGATCTTCGTGTGCATATATTGTTTAGAATGAATTTACAGACGCGTACACACGAAGGCTCGCTAGAATAATTAACTTAATTGCGCCGTTGCTCTGAGATCAATGTCTTGTGCTTGAAGCGGGGAATTCGTTTCTTGAAAGTTGCGGCTCCTTGCAAGTCAAGGAAACATGTTTTAAAGACTCACCTGAACGCGGAGAGTGATCTTCAGTGTTGACTTCGGAATGGAGCACCTCCAGAGCGTGGAAGAGGTTTAGCGTCTCGAAGGACGTATCGTTTTCGGGCCGGACTACTGACCGCTTTTCGAGATGGCGCCACGAGCATTGCTGCGTCTGCGAACCGAATGCACCGAAAAGAAATTCTCAGTTAACACCCCTTTATTGACCACTGATATATTTCGATGGTTTTTACATGTCGATTCCTTCCACTAGAAACGGAGCGGGCCTCTTTGCGTGGAAACGAATGAGTTTTCTTGTATAATGAAACTTGAGGCTTGTATGGTAAATATGAATACCGCTCGAGGAACAATGGCAGTCAATGAACCGAAGCCTCACGATGCAAATTTTATAAAATTACACTACTTTCGGGTGGATGTGAACGTGAGTTGTACCAGTACGCATTTGTCTAATTGCTACATATTAGGCACGTCAAAAAGACAAGTTAGTGAATCGGGGCTACGACGGACTAGCTAAATTGCTCCTGGAGTTAGATTAACCAAGCTTGCGGCTTCTCAAGTGCAACAACCTTTATGATGTGAACTGGCGTGGCCGAAGCTTGCTCTCAATATTGGCTAAAAAACAATGACTGCAATGATAGAACGTGCCCACGGGTCAGTCAATTTCAGCGATTGTCGAATTATAATCTCAGAGACTTCCGGTATGCAGACCATCTTTGGGGCACAGCCAGGAAGTTCATACGGGGAAGGTTGGGAGGGGGGGGGGGGGGGCGGTGCGGGTAGGAAGTATGGAATAGCCATGGCTTGGGTAGCGAGGGTAGAGGCTAAAGAGCCGGGCATGAAGATTGGCGCCATGTATATAGGATAGACTAAGTTTGCGGAAACATGCCGGGGGGAGGGGGGGGGGGGGGGCTGGGGGAGAGGGGCTGAAGCCTTATAAACTGTTCCTTCTCTCCTGGCTACTCCCCTGATCCGCTGCACGTCCTTTCGTGCATATTGGTACTGGCTTACCAAATTTATAAGCTCTCAGTTACAATGAACACTACAAGAGTATAAATTGCAGAACTAACCAACTGAAACAATAGGAATTCATTGCGAAGCGAGAAAAATGAACTTAAACTGTTTATAAATATCACACCAACTCCCTAGCGCGCGCGATTCAGAACTGTCACTGTTTTTAATGGAACCTCTAGACCTCGTTGACAATACTAAAGCTCTACAAAAGACATTAACGACTACTGATTTGAACCATTTTTTTCTAATTTGTATCCATGATACAACCAGTAATGCTTCAAGGGGTATCCACACAGGGGATGCCCTCGGGGACGGATGCGCGTGATTACAACAATTGGCTGAACCAGTGGGGCTCCCTCCCCGGCTCCAGCATTCACACAGAGGGCGGTGAGCCGAGAGGGATATCAATTAGCAGATGAATTTATTGATCACACTCTTGACAATAAGGGTCGGCGCGCGCTGACGGGAGTAGACAAGTGGAGGCGTACACGAAACAGCGTGACGGGGTTATGGCAGCAACGTTGGTACAGAAGACGATGAACGGCTTCGTGCTAAAGAAAGATGTTGGTGGAAGGGTGAGTGAAACACAAAGAGCGTGGAATCAAAAACAACCTGTGTGAGGATCTGCTGGAGGACGACATTGGTCTGAATATTGAAGGCTCCTTCGGGGGCCATGGTCGGCATGGGCAAGCCGCAAATTAGACAATCCAGATACCAGCGCCAATACATCGCATAGAAGAATCTATGCTGGAACCTGGGAGGGAATCCCACTGGCTGAGCCATCGCGAATTGCGAAGACATCCCCCGCCAAGGCGGGGATTGATCGTTCAGCCAAAGAAAAAGCTCTCTCATCCCTCGGGGATGTCTTAGCGCGCCTCAATACAAACGTGAAGTTTTTTCCACGTGATACGTATCTCGGGAATAAAAAAAAAAGCGATTTCTCCTGTTGGGAATACTGCTTCATGGGACGACGCGGCTAAATGCGGACTTCGTTCTATTCTTCAGCTTCAGCTTTGGATACTCTATGCTAGATGGAAATCGGAGCAGGCTGGTATCATTGCGATGTCCGGCCAGCATGGAGTCTATTTTGTCCCTAGTCTACGGGGCCTCGGAACCTGGGGCCAGGGGACCTTATGTTTCATGACGCGTGGACTGCGCGAACAAAGAGTTGGCGTGCAGCCTTCTCACCGGGCAAGAGCCGTGGCACATGTGGACGTCGCACTCGACGTACAGGGCCCGGCTTCCCGTGAAGCGGAAGGCCTTGAGGAAGGCGAACAGCGTCACCTGCTGGCCGCCTTCGGTGCGGCTTGAGTGGGATCCACGGAAGGCGCTCAGCAGCTTGTCTTGCAGAGTGCACCTGCAAGAGCATGCATACCACTTGACGCATTTAGTTTGTTACTAATCCACCGTCTTCTGAATTGTCGTTTGGAGAACTTTCTGGAAACCATGTACTTCCGTTCTACGAGTTTAATAGTACAACGGGGCTTTCGTTCACTCGAAAGCTAGGCTCTCGTACTCACCCATGTTGCATGCTGAAAATTGATGTTTGTTTCGGGGGTTATGAACGATTTGATTATTCGTTCCGGGTAGTATTTACCTATTGCAAAACCATTGCGACATAACCTATTTATACCTTAGAATGCCTTGCGAGTAGTGCTTATTGCGTTGGACGAGAAACGGGTCAGTGGTTTTCAGCGTCAATCACGGGTCAATGACGCTGGTGTGACTATCACTTTAGACATTTACGTACGAACTGGCAAAGCTGCCATTCAAACCCCGTTGGGAATATAGTGCTGGACACCTGTGAAGCTCACCCGTGGACGTCTACAAGCTGCAGCTTTTGGTCTGCGCCGTTGTGGGCTACGCAGTTGCTGACTAAAATGTCCACGTCACCTGCGAGGAAAGAAACATGAATACCAAAGATATTTGTAGCATGTTCAAAGCGTCGTTAATAATTAAACGTCACATAAACTACTAGAGATCATTGTCCACAAACATACAATGCCATAAACATTTCAGACTGGTAAAACAAGACTTTCACAAAAAAAAAAAAAAAAAAAATCACCATCAGAGGCTATACTGATAGTCACTGTATAGAGCTATGAAAACATAGTACAACGAAAACGTTTAACATCGCGAAAGGCAAACTTTTGTTAACACGTAAATTTGCTTAAACATTTTTTAAAGTCATATGCTTCCTAGCTCGATGCTGTTTTTTCAAAGACTTCACTATGCATTATCCTCAGTTTCACTTGAAGAGGTCGTAACTTCAGATTCAAGAAGGTGACAGTCTAACTACAAGAATGGTGTTTGCATTATAATTGCAATGTTATGACATTGATCGACTGCGTCACAAAGGCATACATATATGCTTGTTTTACAGAACCATGCACCGTGCTTAGTTTCTAGCTTCGCGTCATATCTGTTGCAAATAAATACAGGACGCGCTTCTAGTACATACAGAAAGCACATTCGTTACCATGTGAGTGATTGATATGAATTCAGACGTCAAAAAAGAACAAATACAAAAATCAGCAATCGGTGTCATAAGAATAAACCGAAAGCAACAAAATAAACAGACACAAGGCGGTACATCTTGTTTTGTTCTCGCCTTTTTTTACTTCCTATTAATTTTTTTTAATAAACCGCTCTCTGGTTTTCGTCGAAATAACCTTTTTTTTGTCTGTCGTTAATAACAAAACGATGATAGCTGTTCTTAGTACAGCATCGAGGCATAATGCATAAGGACAAATATACGTGTGATCCGGGTGAAAGTACAGAAAAAGGGAGGAAAATCCCCCCCCCCCCCCCCCCCCCTTCCTTCTTGGTCTTAATGGCAAGCCTAGGGGCGCTCCGTGTAGAAAACGATTGTTTTTATTGCTTGCAGCACTTTGATCGCTAAAGGGTGACATTGCAGTTATTCTTTCTAAAGCACTTTCTAGGTGCTTTAGCCTTGCCTTTTTATTTATTTAATTACTATTATTACGCTGTTTGTCAGACAGCTTTTTAAGACCTCAAATTTTCCAGAACGTTAAAAGACTCGTAGAACAGCCAGCCCTACAGTTCACCTACTACAAAAGTCCGAAAATTGTAAATGAGAGTAGAACATTTTTTTGGTTGTTATCTTATGAAAGACGGCATAAACCATTGCGGAGTATCTTCCTGTCCACAAGAAAAGTGTGTAAACGTGAAATATATCTACCATATACCTATATCAGTTAACACCGGCGTCACTTCGAGATGCTCTGAAAAGACAAACTTTACGTCGCCGGAGGAGCTAAGTAATGACTTGAAACACGAAAGAAAAAAACACATAGGGACGGACACACACAGACATGACAGTTCTTTCCCCTGTCTTTGTGTGTCCGTCCCTATCTGTTTTGTTTTTGTTTTTGTTTTTTTGCGTTTCAAGTCATCTGTGCCAACCTTCTCTGTGTTCATGAGCTAAGTAAATAATTTATTACTTTTGTACAACGCTCTATCCTACCTTGATATATGAGACCTTGTTGTCACTGTTGCTGCCGCTGCTGCTGACCTTGCTTTCTACTTTAAACCAGGTGCAGCTGCGTATTAACTACTGCATAATAAATTTAGAAAAAAAGTCAAATGAGCAGTTGTATTGCATTGGCTAAATGGGCCTTTTATACAAGATGCTCTTTAAAAGAATCTGGTTGAATTACCATTCCATACAGTAGAAAGTCAATTCTTTCTTCTTTGACGGCAAATTGAACATCGGTACAAATAATATAGATTCATTTATAATTTTGCTAAATGGGATCAATAAAACATACGCCGAAGACATAAGCCCATATTTTTTCAACGCTCTTTGACCGTTGCTTCCACACACACATATACAAAAAAAAAAAAGGTTTTTAGCACACATGCAACCAAAATGCCATAGGTTTACGAGTTTTCAAATCTCGCAGTAGATTATCTAAAATGTCAGGTTTCGGTGAGTGTTGCAGTTGAAATTGCTTTTTTTTTCTTTCCAGTAAGCTTCTCTGCATGCGTACATCAACTCCCCTGGCCTTGCTTCTCGCTGTCGCCAGTTTTGGAGGGCACCGTCCCGCACGAACGAAGCAATCAGCACCTATCTTTGAGCGTATTTCGTCACTTTTGACAATTCTTTTATGAGAGTCGGTAGTATTCGACGTAAAAAGCAATAAAATCAGATGCAGCTTCAAGATGCCAATATGTACTGACAAGCGGAGGCAGGTTAGGCTGCACTTCCTTTGTCATTCGCAGATCCCCCCCCCCCCCTTCCCCCGCTTCCCCCCTCCACCCTTCCTCTCGACTGGGTTCGTATCTACTGTTAAAAGGGCTAGCTTTATTGCCATTTTTTTTAATTTCGAAGATTAGTTTATCTTTCAAATAAAAGGTGTGGTTGGATGGCGCAAGCCGCCGCTCAAATAAAAGGGTTCGGCAGATCCATTTATCTAACCATCCATCCATCCATCCATCAATCCAAGCCTGTTAAATCTTTGACATCGAGCGTGCACGCGTTTTGCTGGAATGATTCGGGATTTTGCGTTTCTCATTTTGGGCGAAGTTGGTGAGACCACCAGTTGCAGCTGACTCACGCAGGACGCTGGTCATGGTGACGACGAGGGTGAGGGGGTCTCCCACCGTGACCGGTCCCTGCGCCCTGGGTCCGGACAGCCCGAAGCCCAGCCGTACCTCCATCGAGCACTGGGGCGGCGGAAGCGTGAACACCACGGGCACTCCCGTGTTGACCCTGCACACGCATGCGCGGAGCAGACATGATACAGCAGATCTGCTCTGCCAATCACACCTGATGGCCGGCTATACGTGTTTTATTGGAATTATATTAAATAAATAATATTTTCATTTATATATCATACCCCGACGATACACTGCATTAAGTATCCCGGGGATACACTGCATTAACAGTGAAGGTTCGATATTAACAATGACAAGCACGTAAGAGGAAACATAGTCAATAGTAAAGGAAATATATGTTTGGAAATATTATCTGCGGTCAGCAAACCAAATGCAGTCATTGGCGCTGAGTAGCGGAGCTGAAAAAGTTGCTAATGAAAAGTAATTAGGCTTGTGGGATTTTGACATTAGCTACCAGCAGAGGTACTGAGAGAGTAAATAAAGGGCTATCTCAACAGCGGCGGCGATCTCAAAGGAGACGTCCAACCTAGTAGCGCGATCGACAGATCTCCGCGGTAATTTAGACGACGTTCAGGGCTACATTACCGCGGGTCGGTTTGATAGGGGTTCTGGAAGAAATGTCCCCGGAAAAAAAGTTCACGGAAAATATGTTCCCCGGAAAAAGAAGGCTCCAGGTGGAAAGTAGGAAACAAAATGTCCCCAAAGGGACAGTTTTTTCCACTGCTGTACGATCCGCTCTTGACCTTTGTGTATGAATCTAGAGTGTGTAATTTCATTTTTGATCTTGTAACATTGCATCTCAACTGTTTTTCTTTTGTTTTGTTTTTCATTGTGAAATAAATATCTGTAACACTTCTAGCCAAAACCAAATTATTGTGTGCGGGGAAATTTGAGAGGTACTTGTGTAACCATTTCCAAATAGGTAAAAAGCGCGACACTTGGCATAAAAAAGCGATCGTTAGTTTTTTTAAATCTTTTTTTATAGAAACGAAACGTTAATTGTCATCAAGTTATTATAGGTACTCAGAGTACTTATTTAGGGATATAACGCAAACGATAAAATTTAATTCCCACTAATACTTTTTCTAAGTAAAATGTGAAAATACGCCGAAGTCGTGTTCACGCTAACCGTGTCGTGATGTGTACCTCGCGGAATCGTATATTTCCTTATTTGTTGGAGCCGTTTTTTTCTACTTGCCACGCGGCGCCTTTTTTTTCCAATAACATATGACCGGACCGCCCGAAGGCCATGAGGGTCAGGGGAACCCAAAGATAGAGAACCCTTTAAGGACATTTTTTTTCTACTTCCCACCTGGGGCCTTTTTTTCCGGGGGCATTTTGTCCGGGGACTTTTTTTTCCGGGGGCATTTTTTCCGGGACATCTTTTCCTACACCCGTTCCATAGATACCTGCGTCGGTGCCAATGATCGTCTACCTTGTCTCACTTTCTCGAATATAGCGGAACAGAAGACACACGTACCAGAGTAAGGACAGAGCCCAAGAGCATTTGTTAAAGCACTCTTCTAATGTCCCCATCCAAAACGCACCCCCCCCCCCCCCCCCACCCCCCCGCGCCGGCAAGGTAAGAAAAGGTCCTTACCAGCCAGACGCGGGGTTCCGGAGAGCCAAGATCGGGAAAGCACCAGAGAAGTCACCGATACACGTCCTATCTCCTTCGCGGTCACCGGACAAGTCCCTCTCCCGAAAGCGGGAAAACAAGAGGCGAAACCTCCTCGTCTGTCAGCAGTGATTCGCATCCCAGCGGGGGAACAGAATGAGGTCCACCCGAGAGAGAGTGAGGGGAGGGCCCTCCAAGACAGAAGACTCCGCTTCACGAACAGGTCGTAGCTTACGGCGAAGGAGGCCGAGCGTTCCGACCCTGGACCGTTAACACAGCCATCGGGGAAGGGAGACCACACGCATCTTCACAGGCTACAGTGACAGTTCCAGATTGATTTCTCTACCGAAAAACTCAGTATAACACTTCCTTATCTAGATTATGGAAGTTTGTTTTTGGAAACTCGATATCTAGATTGCAGACAAAGGAATTATTTATGAAAACCTGAAATCCAGATAAAGTTCAGACAGATTTCCAGTTCCATAGTTCATATAGCGAAATGTTATACGTGTTTTTTTTATAGGGTAACTGAAGAGTAATTAAGTAAGAGTAGGCCTTTGACTCGTTAAAGTTGCGCAATAACTAAAATGTAACCAAGAAATATTGTAGTGACTTATAATATAGCACAAATAATTGCTAAAGGTGCTGTGATTAGCAGCGCGCCATTCAGTTTTTTTTTAAAAATGCATTTGTGCAGACCCGCACCATTGACTGGCTGCTCACAGCAGGTTCCGACGCCATGGCGTAGACCTTATGACTAAAAATCAGTGTTGTATGCGTTACCAAAAAAAAACAAAAAAACTAACGAGATACGTTACTTCTTACTTACAAATAAGAGTAAAGCGTAACCGACCTACGTTACGTCAAAATATAAGGAACACGTCGCCGTTACCGCTACGTTAAAAAATAACACACAATACTTTTGCGTTCCTCTTTAAATTATGAATCAACACGTTTTACTCTTTGATGTTACAGATATGCATAAACGCCATATTTAAAAAAACACACACACACAGAAAAAAAACGTTATGTTTAAATTGAAACTGAGCATCATTATATTATCTTTTTTATGGTTCCAACTAAATACTCACAAAACAAGAAAGCAAAGAAAAAACGCAAAAACGCAAAAATTTATAACGATGCCCAGAAAGACGAAAAAAAATTTAAGCGTAATCTATTTAAATCTTGAGAAGAATATGTAACGAGTAACGCAACAACGTTATACATTACTCAAAAAGAGTAACGCAAGTACGTTACCCGTCACCATTTTGAAAATGTAACGAGTACGTTACTACGTTACCAAAAAAAGGAACGCGTTACCGCCAACACTCCTAAAAATACAGCAATCAAAACTGCGATTATTGTGAGAGAAAATAATTACACTTAAAAGCCCGCAAAAAAAAAAAAAAAAAATCACAACACTCACATTGGTTTTACTAGAATACATTAAATTAACGAGGCAACAAGTGCATACTGCAAGAAAGATGGTTTTACTCAAAAATCTGTAATCGCGTCATTTAAGCTGCAATAAAAATTACCCGGAAGCGATATAAAGACTTAAGGATCATTTCAAAGGGTTGTTAAGGGCACGACATTCTCTAAACTGTTATCTGAGAAGCTCGCCCTACGCTTTGTCATTGCTATGTTCCTGTTCTGAACATGCAGTAGTTCAAATGCTGCACTGCTTGGTAAGCAGGTGTGTGACGTGTGGTACCATGTGGTAGCTTGTTGAGACAATTAATAAAAAAAGAAGTTCGACAGTGGGAGACCTAGGTAGTTCAATTCTCGCCCCCCACGCCTCATTACGTTTGCTTGTGCTTTTGCCTAAAGAAATGCTGCCACCACCCTCTTTCTCTGACACTGATGAAGTTTCAATCGGGGGCCTCTGCTGTTTGTAATTTTTTTCTTGCAGCGCAGTTCTGAACAGCTGCAGTGCACATTTCTTCTGTTGAACGTACTATATCTATTTTACTTTAAATTTTGGATGAGACTGGGTTCAATGCCATTTCTGTCAGCTTTCAGTCAATGCTTCCTAAAAAGTAATCGCCCAGTGGCGTACAGAACCCAAGGCCACCATCCTTCTGCGACAGAAACATTGTTTTTAGACTTCTGATTGTAGGGAGAGGGTCACCAGCATACATATTCTTTATGTACATAGGTTGCCAGGCAAGATGAAAGTTTTCCGCTGACAACAGCGTCTCCATGCGAGGGAGCGTCGATAATTTCAACAAGTAGCTGTAAGTAAACCAAGTTACTACTTATACGAAAATATAATTAAGTTACAAGTACAGTTACCAGCAGTTTTTTGTAACTCGGAAGGTATTTACTTACAAAACATGCAACTGATCGTAATAACCATATACTCGTGATTTTAGAATGAAAGCGTAAAATAGTTCAGTAGGTTTTGATGTCGTATCTTGTTTTAGGACCGGTTAAGATGCTGGGAAATAAAAGCATTAGTGGGTAAAAATCTTAGGGTTCCCGAGCATGGTAATATGCTCAAAAACAAGAATGCGACAAAACAGTTGAGTACAAGAAAACCGCATTGAACCTTCGGCACTATATTTATTTTGTTGATCTTATACGATTAGCAAAAATAAATATATGCCGAATAACCGAAGTGTTTTTTCCCCTATGCAGAAAAGAAACAAACACACTAAAACACATAAAAACATGTAGTTACATTTATTAAAGCAACGTTTCTAATATAGCTTATACTTTTCTTGGCATTACTCAAGAATATATCTAATGGAAAGCTGAAATTTCGTAACTGACAGAGGTTGCACCTCTGTCAATTACGAAAGAGACAAGAACGACATTTAATCTGATGACAGCTTTGGGAACAACTTGTTTGGAGGCAATTTTTTGACAGCAAATATGTGTTTCGCACCGCTCGAACGGCTGTCTTGGCAAGTTTGGCTGCTTGCTTTCACTGTCTTGCTCGCCGAGCGTCACACCTTGACAAATTGTACAGTTTTGCTGCAAACTCTACATGTTTTGCCCAATGCAGGACAGTTTGATCGTTATCTGTCGTGCGGCCATTTGCGCCGCAGTTGTGACAATCCGTTATGAGCTGCGATGCTGTTACGTCTGGTAATTCTGTCGTATATGTGTTTTTTTTTGTTTTATCTTGGCTTGCTACCACGCTGCTGTCCGTGCTTCTGTAACGTGAGTACTGTTTTTTCTGCACTCCACTTGATCTCAGACACGTCGCGCTCTAAACCTTCGAACATGCGTCCTTGCTTGATGATATCTGGAAGGTCGAATGAGTGAAGCATCGCGTATTTCCGCAGACAAGGCGATGTCGCAGCGATGACGATTTGCTTCTTGATTTCGAGATCGAGCGTTGGCAGAGTGGAAGTGACGAGATAGTTGTCGGAGCCGTGCGTCGAACGCGTGTAAGGACTCACCAACGTCTTGTTGGGCTTGACGAATACGGTAGACCGAAAACATCGGGCTGCCACTCGACGCAAAGTGAGCGACTAGCTTCGCTCTTGCTGTCTCATGCTCCGATGTTGAAGCTCTCGAAGCGCCTTGAGCTTGGGTGGTGCTGGTGCCCGTTGATGATGTTGGCAAAAAGTCGGGCAAGGAAAGGGGGGGGGGGGGGGGGGGGGTGTAGAACATGTCTTTTCCCGCATAGTGAAAAAAAAAGGGGGGGTTTTCTTGCGCGCGTCTGAAGTGATGTTGCACGCGGTGATGACGTTTTTGAACCTTTCCACCTATTTTGCCCACTCGAGGCCGATGATGTTGGCGTCGGTCGCTTAAGGATTGAAGTTTGGCAATGGCAGTAGCGTGTGCGCCATACTGCGACTGCTTGGGTCATCTGAGTGCTCGTTGCTGGCGTTCATGCCGTTTTTCCGGTGACGATGTGGCGCACTAGTTGCACGGACGCTTTGTTAGATTAATTCCGCTTGTGATACCGTTGCGGTGTTTGCTTCGGCGAAGATGGCTCGGACTGAGGAGGACACCGAAGGGCGATAACGTGTTTGTTTTACTGCGCCATTGTAGATTCCTTGTTGCCAACAGTACATTCGCATTCGGCTAAATGCAGGGCACTACACTTTAGATCGCTGAATGCAAGAAACCACATTCTATGTATACACAATAAAACATATATTTTTTGTTGTAACACCCTATCAGGCGGTCATATTTGTGAGGCCTACTCAAAGATTTCTAGTAGTTGACAATCTGTCTGATCAACGGGGATGCTGACGCGGGTTATTTCTCAGAATAGTCAGTCTGAAAAATACTATCAACTGATGCGAGTTCGAGCGCACTTGTCTGCTTTTTGCCGAGTTTGCTTGAACAAGCGAAATAAAGACATACAAAAGTTGCACGTACTGTTTGTATACTGTTTTTGAGCAAGTACCGACCGCCTACTTTCGCACAGTGCAGACTTACAAACAAAGGTTTGTGTTTTTCGGTAAATACCGAGAAACGCTAATAAAGAACATCCAGCTCGGTTTTATTAAAGCCGGGGAAAGCCGAAAAACACAAAAGCAAAGCTTTTCATGAAAAAAAAAAAAAACCTTCAAGATCCGCGTTAAAAAAAAAGATATTTATCTACAGCTTTATTTTGCGCTTACAGGGAACGCGGCAGCCACCGCACTGCCCGCCAGGCTGCCTCGTTCTTTGGAACAACACTCGTTTCCTTCAATAGGTATTAGTGCGTTTTCCAAGTATTCGGGTCGCGCCTATGTTCTCTCGACTTTCGGGAACGTGTGGGATCTTTTTCCAACCCCGATAGACCCCGATTCCTTGTCTCGGACCAAAATGTTTAAACAAAGAAGAAAAAGTACTCTCGTTTCCGCCCGAAACAAGAACAACAACAAACCTCTAAAACACAAAACCCTACTTATAACTGTTAGGCCTTGAGGATAGCACCACCTGGGTGCGAAAGGGAGGAGGGATGATCGACAGAGTGGGGACTATAGTAGGAACTCTCGGCTGGGGGGTCAAGGCTGCGAAAAGAAATGGTCACACGTTTTTGTAATCTACTTCAGTATTAAAGGCTGTAGTTTAAACGAAAATACTCAGTCATTGCGGAAGCGGAGGTCCAACATAACCCATCAGTATGTTTATATAGAATGAAGCAATTGAATGACGAGTAGACCGAAATAAAAGTTTATCCAATAAAAAGGCTAACTTGAGTCACGAAGCAGCACACGGAATTACCGACGACCTGAATTGAGCGCAGAAAGGGCATTTTATAAGGAAGAAGCACTTTTTGAGTTTCGTTGTTCGCTTGATTTCTCCCATCAATAGCAGTGTTCGGTTGCATACGTGCACTCTACGGTACTGCTGGTACTGAAATTTCTCTACTAGATCAGGCAGCCACGATGCCTGCGTGCCCACTGGCCAATCGTCACCCGACCGCGCAGGCAGCACCACTCACTCGACGTTGAGGAGCGGGAAGTTGACGGTCTTCCAGTAGTCGAAGGCGTACTCGCAAGTCACTCGAAACCTCTCGTCGGCGTCCTCTTCAATCAACCGGTTGTACTGGACCGTAAGAGAGTTCCAGAGTTGCTGTCCACGGACCTAAGGAGGCAAGATCAACGATACTGCGATATGGTCTTTGTACGCGCTCTTACAAAATGCCCGGGCTTTTGCCTTCCAAAAATATGTTCACACCGAAAAATGAAGTGAGCGCTGTGACTCTGATTTTAACGTGCTTACATCGTGTAATCGCAGGCTTCATTTTGAGGTCTAATAGTCCGCTCGGCTTCGTCTTTCGCCGATCTTTTTTTAGTAGATCGCTTTGATCGACCCTCGGGTTCTCACTAGGCGCACGGGCATTCTTAGCCCGTGCACCTATGCGCACGGGCTAAGAATGCCCGTGCATCTGTGTCACTTCGATATTGAAGACTATGCAAGGCTGAGAGACATTGATATTGCGAACACCATACGGCGGTTTTTGTTTTACTCAGACAGGGTATTGACAAGCAGCACGCTTTACCATTTAGACTGCTTTAATTGTGAACTTTCCTCGGCACCATTGGTTTTTACGAGCTGTTATATGTTTTAGGAGAAAGATGGTAAAAACTAGCGATCGGTTGTTTGCGCTTAAAGTTTTGTGCTGTGTGTATGTCAGGTGTAGCTAAACAATGCCACAAGCAGAAATGTTCAGTTGACATTTACTTTTCTTTCTCTCGAACGCAATGCACAGGAGAAAAACAAAGACGACACGGACGACCCAGCTGTTGTGTTGTCTTTCTGCGTAAACTTTCTTTTGCTTGTGCATATTAAAATTCGGGCTTCGACTTTTTTTTCTTCCGTTGATCTTTAGACTTATATCACTTTTCGTTTTGTTTAGAGCTGAGCACTTAAAAAAGAATCTTCTCGAGAAATGCCGCGCAAGCTTCCAAATGGCGTGAATAGAATTGTTAATAAGGATTGTTAGAGTGAACTTTATTCAGAATTGAACCAATTAGGTCAAAGCGTCTAGCGGGAAACTTTTTAATACATTTTAGGAGGGTAGTGAACGCCGGATGGCAAAGCAGATTCAAAGGGCGACACTGCACCATCGCCGAAGTGTTGTCTGGGGAGTCGGCGAGCCTGTTATTTACAGAAACTACTGAGGTTTGTATATAGTTACTATGGTCCGTATAAAGTAGACCTGATATAAACATATTTATTATTCTTAGCCCTATTCAACTAAAAATGCCTTAAAATAGTACTTTTTTTAGATATTCTTTTAAACCACCGGAGTCCAGATCGCGCTCCCATAACGAACAAACTAGATCAGGGGTGGCCAAGCTGCGGCTCTTCGCGTGTTGCACTGCGGCTCACGGCTCCCTTCCGTACCCTACCCTATCCCCCCCCCCCCCCCCCCCTTCCCGGTCAGATGAGCACTTCCCAAAAAGAGAAGTGGAACGCGTTTTAAAGCGAAAGACAGGTAGCGGTTTGGTAGTCTTGTGCTGCTGTTACCTTACGAGCAGTTGGACTACTTTTGACTCTGATAGATTGAAAGTAGTTCGAGTTTCGTTTATTGCTTTAGACAAAAGTTTGTTCCCCCCCCCCCCCCCCCCCCTACCTATGGCTCTCGGAAGTTTCGTGGTTTTGTTTGCGGCTCTTAGGCCGGGTTAGCCTGGCCACCCCTGAACTAGATGTAAACTAAGTTATTACGTAAGAAATATAAATCTGAATAAATTGCCACTAATACTTTTTAACAAACAGCTAATAATTTTACCAAAATACCATGGCATTCCCAACCATATGAAAAACTTGAAAGAAATAGTCCTAAATTGCCCAAACATTATACAACGAAGTTTGTGTCTGTATATGAAGATACCCGGCCAAAAAAGCCCCTGCTCAGAACAGAAATGTAATCGAAAGACTGCTGCGGTTGCAAGGCAAGCAATGACTTTTTGTAATGTTGCGATAATTGATAACTGATACATTTTGACTAACTGTGTATTGTCTTGTACATTCATACTTTCACGCACTAAAAAAGTATCCTTACATCTACTTGCAGCAGAACGCTGGTAGATAAAAATAATTGAACCAGAAGAGGAGGCTTGCCAAATGACGCGGCGGAACGGGCATTTTTTCTCCCAAAATAAAGTCATTGATGGGACAGTGAGCATGCCATTTTATATGCTTATATCATGACCGCTTTGTTGGACTCGTCACCGAGTAGTGTCTCCTCAGATGGCAGTGATGGCTCTCCTAGTGTTCCACGGAACAAGAGACACATGGGCGTTGTAGAGGGCAGAAAAATTCGGTTTCGACGAAAGCGCGCGTACCTTTTCTCCGGCAGTGCCGGGCGGGGAGTCCAGGGCGGACTGGGCGACGTCGGTGCGGCCCAGCGTGCCGCAGCGGTTCACACGCACCTGAAACTGGTAGCTGGCCCTGCCGGTGCCGTTCACGTACACGCAGTCCGGGTCGTGCGCGTACTCGGTGCTATACACCAGGCCCAGGAAGGACCCGTTAAAGCCCAGCTGGATCCGCATCAGACCCTCATGACACTCGGCCGTGATCACTGAAGAAACCACAGGAAAGAGAGAAAAAAAAAATTTTTGAATATAGAGCATAAGATCGGTCTCGCCTTGAGGTGCGGCGAAACTAGTTTGCGCTGTAAATGAGAATGCAAATCACAAAGAAAGACCCCCGAGAGAGACGTCGCTTAAAGCTCCGCCAAAACCTTTTTGTTTTCTGGCTTCCATTCAAACCTTCATGTTTTTAGCCATCAGGCGCTATGAAGCTTCAGACCCAGCCAAAATAAACTCTTTTGAAAGTCCGTGTCTCGACCAGTCAGTACCTTTACATCTTTGTGGTAAATCATGAAGATGTGGAATTTGTGTTTTAGGTATTTAACTTGTAAGTTCTGACCGCAAGAAAACGTCACCTTACCTAGCAGCCAAAATATGAATATGCAGAAAAAGATCGTAAAAAACAAGGGGCAGTCTTTTTGTTTAGCAGCCAATAGTGAATTCCTCTTCCTCTTGCATGTGCCAGCCTTGCCTTCTATTATGGTGGCTAACAGTACGCGGAGGTTTACCCCCTTTTCTCGTATTTCAAAATAGCTCTGTAAGGCACAGAACGTCAGTTTACTCGAATAACATCTAGAAAGCGCGCATTGGATCATCAGTCGTTACCCTTCACTCTTGCCGGTGCATCGCCGAGGTGGTCCTGAGGGAAGGGCGTCAGCCCCGTCCCGTGTCGACCCTGGTCGTAGAGCGGCTTCCTGCGCGTTGCTTCGGACGCTCCGGCGGGCTTCTTCTTCACCCTTTTGATGGTGGTCACCCGCTCCACTGTGCCCGGGCGACCCTGGCTGCGATTCGGGGCCTCCTGCTCCGGAAGGAGCCGGAGCGCTTCGTTCGTCTTGTTCCTCGTGGGTCCGGGGGTTGTGGGCTCTTGGGCCGTCGCAGCAAGATTCGTCGTGACTGCAAACACCGTCGTTGTAGCCGACTGCGGCAAGCTTGTGGTCGCGTTTCGGGAGTCTAAGGCAGGTTCTTCCGTGGGCTCCGCGGTGGTTGTGTGGTTCGAACTGGAATGTGTCACTTGCGAGAGTGCCTAAAGTAAGGAAAGGCATCACATTATCAGGGGCAGGTACCTGTACTCAGCATCATTGTAAAATCACGCTATACGTTAAGTAAGAAAACAAATCAAGAGTTATATTTATTGTATTGAGGTTCAGACGGCGCAAAGTTGATGGACAAGTGCGCCAGTTCATTACGAAGGTTTTTAACGGGCCTTTAGTAGTATGACAACCGCACGCCGGCGCGATAATCATCCCGGTTAAAAAGGGGAGGGTAAACCTTTGTAAAGTAGGAAACGTTTATAGTTTATGCATGTTGCTTATTTTTATTCTCGTGTGCTCGAGGAAATAAGTTATTTAAATGTTGATTGGGCCTATCTATATTCCGGGCAAAAGAGAAGTTTATGAAGATGTAAAGCTCCCGCCTATGCGCGAAGTATTTTTTCTTAACTTTAACAATGCAAAAAAGGCGAAACAATAGAATAGTGACCGGTAGAAAGATGCTGTTAGTTTTGATAGCTGATTCGGTGACGTAAATATGAATACAAGGGTAGAAGAAGGCTACATTTTATGCGGAACATTTTAAAGTACCGACCTTACAACAAGTGGTGGCAACATCTCTACGTTTATTTATTATTTTGAGTTAGCTCGACTTTCATCCGAGAAGAAAGTTTCTGAGGGGAAACTCAACAGTTGCGCTTCGTTTCATTTAAACTCGACTAACGGTTCAAAATTTCAATCGAGGATACGCTAGAAAAGCTAGTGAAAAATACCACTTTAAAAGATTGGTAGACAGCGCTCATCGCCTCCCGCGTGTGCTCGTCTAAAATAGAACTCAGTATGCACCATTCTACGGAAACTCGTCCTACCACTCTGCTACTTTCGCAATTCAATTGCGCGTTACAAGGTTTTTTTTATTTTCTCCACAATGATTTCAAGTTTTGCTAACAAACATTAAAATAAAAAAAAAAACCCTACCTGCCGACGTGCCACAGCCTGCTTTTATACTGCCGTCCCTTGAACATCATTAAGCCCTTGTTTGTGCCGCCAAAGAGCGGCGTTTGTAATGTAAATACGAGAAGAGTTGCATGCGTTTGATTTTCCACCTCCCGCACCCAGCTGCACCGGGTGCACACCATCGCATTCGATGTACGAGTACAGCCTATCTAAAAACACATACCCGAAGTACACTGCCCTGCACTTTTCTACATCGTGCTACTTTTTCTACACAGGTGCGCGCTCGTGCTGGTAAACCGGCCAAGCAACACTGCTGTTGCGCTTCCATGCCTCGTGGGTCATTATCAAGCGACGCCCAAGTACGTGGCGGTGCGTGATATTTTCACGCTGGGCTGTAATTATTTATACGCTGCTGTTGTCTGTAGCATAGAGCAATTTCTTACCGGCGAAACGATGAGCACGTGAGCAAGTGTTAGCAGGAAGAGAAGCAAGGTGGGTCTTCTGGGACGGCGGCCGCTGGGATCCCGCGCGGCCGCGGATCCTGCCATGGTGCCTTTTCTCGGCTAGTTTCTGCCTTGATTTCTTGGCTCGATCTTTAGGCACTTGAGCGAAAATCATATTTTCCCAATGTAAGGAACCTTGATCGCGATTGTGCAATAGCAATTTGTCGTCCGTTATATTTGCCGTTTTGTATACGGGGCACACAGTTCAATATCAGGGATCGAGAATTTATATTTAATTTACAAAGGTTAACGTGCTTCAGGGAACTTTGAGCGGTAAATCGGCGGCCACAAATGCACCCCCCCCCCCCTTCCCGGGTCTGGGTTGCCACCATCTTGCGCGTTTGGCAGATTAGTGTTCACATGACGTCAAGATGGCTGTGCCCTTACATGGGCCGAGCGCGGCGGTGCAAATCGCTTTGACCTCGACCACCGCGCTGTTGGAACCGATTAATGTTAAATCGCGGCGTGTGCCGCGTTTGCGTAAGCAGACGATGAAGAAGTACGACGGTGTTGTGCATCTATCGCACGAGGTATGACCAGGCATTGATACCGATACGCTAGAATCGGCCGTATGTTGGGCACCATTCCGGTTCACCTCTCCAAGTTCACCCAAGCTCGTTGACACAAGTAGAGGGATTTTGCACTGAAGGATAATTACGGCAAAAGTGTATTAGAGCTCAACCTATGAGCGGTAACTTGTACAGTACGAAAAGTAATAGGTAAAGCAATGAATTTTTCTGCGTAGGACAATCATCACCAACATTCTGGAATATTCTCCCGGTGCGCCCTTTCTCGAAAGTACTCAGCAAAATTTGGTAAAAATTTGCTGAGAACAATAATAAACAGCAATAACAACTTTGTAAATTGTAATATTGCCCGGAACGATTTTAGAATGAAATAATACAGTATTTATTAATACAAATCGAAAACTCAGGAACGTATTTTTTTTTTTTATGTTCCGAGACCCGACATATTTTTTTTTATTCGGTCCTATCGACCACTTAAAGAAAGTGTTAAATTTCTGACGAACACATTAAAATAATGTAAAATCCCTGTTGATTGTAATAACGTGGAGCTAGTAGCACGTACCAAAATACAAATACAATTTTTTCAAAAAGTGATTTAGTTCATTAGAAACGTTTCGTGTGAACCGCAGTATTAGCCATTGTAAAGTTACTGCTCCCGTGTAGATTTATGTGCTGAGGTAAACAACCTTCATAAACGCTCACGGTCGCATGATGAATGACATGACACGTTTGTAACGTCATTGCCAGTTAGGGACCACGTGGGACCCCTGGTATTCATATTAGTCTATCGCGCACGCCTGAGCAATATGTAACCATAACGTTGCTTCTAATATGCAGGGTGTTTAATTTTAACTCAAACATATTTATAAAAAAAAAATCGGTGAAAGGTAGATTAATGCGGGTACTGCAGATGAGTTATACTGCCAGAAAGACATGCTATACGGGGATAATCCTCACAATAAGTCAGATAATAAACTAAAACCTGTTCATTAACTTTTCAGTTAATAAAATGAACATATGGTTCCAACTAAAAATGTGTTGAGCGTCATCGAAAACCACAAAATCAGTCAGTTTTCGGAGGGACTTGAATCACGTAGGAAGCGCAATTTTACGTAAACTTTCTCACTCGTGCAGTTAGCGGTGAGAAAACGTGGATATAATCCGCGCTCTCGCAGCGCTAGCATTGTGCCTGCTGCTCGAATGGCAGCGTCTGTGAACCCCCGTGTTTCCCACGCGCTTGAGTTTCGTCTAAAATTGACGAATTTAGCTGTTTTCGATGACTCTCAGCAAGTTTCTAATTGGAACTGTTCATTAGTAAAATTAATTGTTTATTTTTAGTAAGGAAATTTTTTAAAGACATATTAGTTAATTATTCGACTTATAGTGAGGATTATCTCTTTACATTATGTCTTCCTGGCCGTATAACTCACCCGCACAAATCGCATTAGTATACTTTTCACGAATGTTTTCAAATAAACCTGTCTAAATTATAAACAAACACACCGTTCATACGCTGTGATAATGTCTTCGAAGAAGCTAGGCACCGCAAACTTCTAGTCGAGCTGGTGCAGTTGTATAAGTCCAGACAATAATGACGAAGTTTCTAAGGTTCCTTTTCAAAAAGGTTTGAGTGAGTCGCGATGGCTGTTCTGACTTTATGTTTATGATCCCCATTATTGAGGAGCAACCGCGATGCAAGATTCCGAAGGTTGGAACGCGATCTTAATACCATATCAAATTATGTTTGAGCGTATCTAATCTTCAGATAGCGTACTTCCAGCACGTCGATAACAGACCAACGTCCTTCACAGACATTGCACAACTTCCATTATTTCTTATGTTGGTGACCTTGTGACTGTTCTGTGTAAGCAATATTTGACGAGCGCGAATCTGTTTTTTTGATGAGCAATATATACGGAGGTTTGACAGTGTCCCCTATCGAGGTCAGCTTTCTGTCGAAGCAAAGTATTTGTCTCACGAGTCTA